TGGGACCACTGGTCACCCGAATCGGTGCCGTCGGGTCGGATGGTCTGCGCGAAGCTCTCACACAATGCGACCAATTGTCACATTTGGCGGTCACTAAAATTGAAGACGTGTTTGACATCGACCTCACCGGCGCGTTGCCCGATATACTACTGGCCAAACATTTGCAGTCACTCGAGTTGTCCTTCCATTCAGACATCTCAGACTATATTGAAGACCATTATAATCATCTACACTGGTCTGCATTCGTGGCCGAGAATCAGTCGCTCCAGAGTCTGGCCGTAAAGAGTTGTTGGTTCAGTTATACCGAGAGTATGACCAAAATGTGCGGCCAATTGTCACGATTACCGCAATTACGGGAACTGACACTCGGTTTTACGTTATCTGTCGGCCAGTCGTCAGTTTTGGCCGACTCTTTGCGCGCGATTGGCGTGAATTGCGAACAATTGAAACGATTGTCACTCGAGTTGTCCGCAGATTACAGAGATTCCGCCGCAACCACACCGAAGATATCGTTGCATTCGTTGGCATATTATCGCCGATTAAAGCGACTCAAATTGAAGGTCTTGTTAACCATCGATAACCGTCTGTTGGATCCGTTGAAACACTGCAAGAGATTAACGCATTTAGAGCTCTATTTATGGCGTATGAAAGCAAATGTGTTGAAAAATTTGCACATAAAGTGTCCGCGACTTTAATACCTATCCATTGGAGCTCATGATATGACTGCCGAGTGTTTGTCTCACATCTCAAGACTACCGGCGCTTAAGATGCTTGTCATCCGGAGTAACCGCTCTATTACTCGTGATCTTGTATCTTATGATTACTCGCATCTGTTGTCCATAACTCCCAGACTTAAAGTCATTGAAATCCGTGCCAACAACTACTCGAAGCATTATTGTCGTCAAAATTAATTAAATGTTTAATGATTTTTATAATTAATTTAATTTAACTGTATTTTCACAAATTAAATTAAATTAATTACATTACATTGAGATGTTGATTGTAATCTCATAGTATATACTAATATTAATTTTTATACACAAATGATTGTATTTTAATAATGTTTATTAAAAATGTTATTTTATTTCAAATGAAAGATTTATACATTTTATTTTCAAACAGCCTAGGTACTTAATTTTTCATAAATAAATCATTCGGGTTATCGTTTGAAGTACTGGACGGCCAGATGTCCGCAGCTGTGAACCAGTGTTTGCGTACAATTGGTAATTATGTGAATTACATTGAAATATCTTAAGAGAAACCACTCAATCATTGCCACCGATTATCACAATTACAGATCAACTCTTTTTACGACGTCTTTGACAGCACTTTCGGCCGATTATTGGCGAAAAATTTATATAAATATATAATTAATTACTTCTCGAGTGATAATAAGGAACTGTTGTCTGCATTTGTGGCACACAATCAGTGCCTCAAAAGTAAATTTAATTGTATTTTAATGTAAAACAAAAATATCAAAAATTTTATGTGAAATAAATATTTTGTGGACAAGAATTGCATTTTGAAAATTGTGATCAAAACATATATTAATTGATTGTTAAGTATTTAAATACAATTAAACACTCATTGAAAGTGTGGGCAAAAAGTTGTGACAAAAAGTTATACTTAACGTAATGTATGCCTGTATTGAGTGGTGTGTTATGTATAGGGATGTTAGTAGTGAAATTTAGGGAATCTTTAGACCTAAATTTAGCCTAAAATTTAGGGAATATTTAGGGTCCTGCTGAATCTTTAGGCTAAACTTTCACCCACTCTATATTAGCGACATCTTTGTTGCACATATTTACTAGATAAATGACTAATTTTTGTAATTTATGTTAAATTAACAATTATTACAAACAAATAATATATTTAAATACTAATAAAAGAGTTTTATTTGCCGTAAACTTATCATTATTTTGTAATAGCGAATTTTAGAATAAACATTTAAAGTAAAATATTCTTAGAATACATAACAGAATTTTCAAGAATTAGGAAGAATTTTTACTAAATTTTAAACAATTCAAAAACTATTTAACTTTTCCAAATTATTTTAAATGATAAATCTTCCATTTAATATGCTGATTATATATTTCAGCTAATTAAAACTATTTAACTAAAAAACATATGAAAATTTCACATTTCTGTGAAAATTTAGGCTAAAGTTTCAAAATTTAGCCTAAATGAAAGATTCATTTGAATATTTCACTGAAATTTTCATCCCTAGTTATGTATGGCTATATAGACGTAGTTTTAGACCCAATCGATATCAATATTATATATAGTATTCATAGAAATTGTGTTATTATTAATAGTATTAAAACTTCGATACCTTTTGAACGCCTTTTCAGCGCAAATGTTATGTAATTTTGCTTTTGTTTACAATTCATAACAAAAATACTATTCATTCAAACAATCACTTCATTTGATCCCAAGATATGGCACAACAGATGAAACATTTGAAGACATCACTCGAGACCACAGATGATGGCGGAGACGAAGACACACAACAGGTATTTGATAAACAATTGACTATTTATTGAGTTAATTGTTTTTGTCTTACATTTTAGCCAATGATTTACGCGAAGAACTCAATGGACAGATTCGGTGATGACATGTGTGCACTCATATTATCCTATCTCTCACTCGAAGATCGTTTTCAATGCGAATGTGTGTCCAAACAGTTCCAGAGGACAGTCTTCGGGAGTGTTGTGGACATCACTCTTAGCGATAGATTTATAAAGAGTTTAGTGAATGAGAAGAGAATTGACAATCAGTTTGCGATTTGCATTGAAATAGTGGTCACAATTGACACCAAAATATGGGCCACAATTGCCATTAAGTGTCCAAACATTGAGACCATTGACTTCAGAAGAATGTCCATTGAATGCGAAGAACACATTCCAGAAGTGTTGCGATTATTTCGAGACAATTGTCTTAATTTGCGAGAAGTTTACTGTTCTTTAGGGGAAAATACGGCACAATTGTATCAACAGTTCGGACCACTGGTCACACGAATCGGTAGTATTTTGTGTAAACACTAACCAAATCTCTAACCACTGATTGTTTGCAATAAGTTGTCAGACATTGTCGTTGACATCACTTCCGGACAACTATTGGCCCACAATTTGAAGACATTTGCGTTGAAATACTATTACACCGAAGACAGCGAACTATTCACTGCATTCGTGGCACACAATCAGTGTCTCAAAAGTCTAGACATAAAATATATTTACGGCGATCTGAACGCTACTCTCCCCGAACTGGCCGTACAATTGTCACGATTAACACAATTACGGCAATTGAGACTCGCATTGGATCTAATGCATGACGACAACTCTGTGCACGACTCGTTGCGTACAATTGGTGTTCATTGCAAACAATTGCAACGATTGTCACTCGAGTTTGGCAGCGAAATACCCGCTGTTAATGTCGAAGCATTGGATTCATTGCGATATTATTGCCGATTAAAACGATTGCGTTTAACAATAGATGCGGACATCGATGAGAAAATGTTGGAACCGTTGCGTCACTGCAAGAGATTAACGCATTTAGAGTTGGATTTAACACAATTGACAACAAATGCAAATGTGTTCACAAACTATGTTAAAAATTGTCCGCGACTTCAATACCTATCCATTTGTGACTTCTATAGCATTACAGACACCGAGTGTTTGTCTCGCATCTCAAGACTACCGGCGCTGCAAACGCTTGTCATTGACTGCCAGCATAACATTGATCTCAAAGATAATGATTTCTCGGATCTGTTGACCAAAAGTGCAAAACTAAAGTCAATTGAAATCATTGAAAACTTCATCTCAAAATACTTTTACCGCAAAATTGTTTAAATGTTTAATATTATTAAAAATAATTGAATTTTCTAAATAACTATTAACACAATTAAAGCGCTGATTAATGCAATTATTTCTACTTATTTTTGTTATGGAAATTATGTAGTTTTGCTTCACTTAATAATAATTAAAATGTAACCAATGCTACGATAAATGAAACAATTACTTATAATATAAAATATAAATAATATAACGATTAAATATTTTTAAATATTTGTTACATTTGTGATTTTTGGTGCCATTGATCCCACACTCGAGACATCATTGGCTTCGTTGAGTTCTTACTCACGATTAAGACCATTGCGTTTAGCTATAAGTGTGGCCATCGATGACCGGCTGTTGGAACCGTTGAGACACTGCAAGAGATTAACGCATTTAGAGCTCTGTTTACGCAAAATGAAAGCAAATGTGTTGAAAGATTTGCACATAAATTGTCCGCGACTTCAATACCTGTACATTAGATCCAATGCAAAGACCGGCGAGTGTTTGTCTCACATCTCAAGACTACTGGCGCTGCAAATGCTTGTCATTGAGAGCGAAGACTGTGGCGACGACTCCGACGACTCTGAAAGCTGTGGCGAAGAATCTAATGATCTCTCGGATAATGATTTCAATGATCTGTTGTCCAGAAGTCCTAAACTAAAGAACATTGCAGTCATTGAAAACAATGAGAAAAAGTTTTATTCAAAGCAAAAATGTGGAAATAATTAGTGTTTTATTATTAAAGTAATTAATTATTATTAAATTTATTAAATAATGTCTGAATTTTCCGTTCATTTAATATATTACTTGTATTTAATGCTTATTTTGTGCCAATTATGTGATTTAAAAATTTAATAAAAATGAAATAAGTTATATTAATTGCAATTAATGTCATTTAAAAAAATTAAATATTTATAATTATATTTTTTAAACCATGCGTTCATTTCATACATGATTTTGTGCACTATTTTTATCGAGAATTTATTAATTGTAATTTTGATATAAAAAATCTCTGTTTTAAAAAACACTTTCATTTGAAATAAATATAATTATTTAAAACCCAATTAAAAACTTATTAAAAGTGTTACAAAAAGTACTGAAAATATGTGTCAATAGATGTCTCACTCGTTGTCAACACTTTGTGTTGGCTTTGAATTCAATGCAAATATTATCACATTTTTCACAACAAAAACACAATTCATTCAAACAATCACTTCATTTGATCCCAAGATATGGCACAACAGATGAAACGCAAGAAGACATCACTCGAGACCACAGATGACGGCAATGAAGGCGAAGACACACAACAGGTATTAATAAACAAATGACTATTTATTGAGTTAATTGTTTTTGTCTCACATTTTAGCCTAAGATTTACGCGAAGAACTCTTTGGACAGATTCGGTGATGACTTGTATGAAGTATTGTTGTCTCATCTCTTACTTGAAGACCGATTCCGTTGCGAATGTGTATCCAAACAGTTCCAGAGGACAGTCTTCGGGAGTGTTGTGGACATCACTCTTAGCGATGACTTTATACAGAAATTACTGAATGCGAAGAGAAGTGACGTTCAAATGTTGGCCACAATTGCCATAAAGTGTGTAAACATTGAGTGCATTGACTGCCGAGGAATACGCATTATATATGACGAACACATTCCCGAAGTGTTGAACACATTTCGAGACAATTGCCGGCATTTAAGAGAAATCTATTGTGATTTGACGCCAAATAATGCGCAAACAATGCCATCGTTTGGACCACTGGTCACACGAATCGGTGGTATTAACTGCTATGAAGACAGTGAAGCGCTCACTCATTGCCACCGATTGTCACAATTAAGTATCAAATCATTTCACGACATCACAGACTATACAAACGATACACTGTTTGGCAATAATTTGTATAAATTGGTGTTGAGATCGCATTCAGGCTTATTTAACCGCCGATTGTCTGCATTCGTGCCACAGAATCAATCGCTCCAGAGTTTGGTCTTAATATCATCTTATTTTGAAGATTCTGTGGCTTTGACCGAAATGTGTGTCCAATTGTCACGATTACCACAATTACGGGAACTGACACTCGGTTTGGTATCGGGTCTACCGAACGGTCCCAACTCTTTAGTGGTGAACCAGTGTTTGCGTACAATTGGTGTGAATTGTAAACAATTGCAACGATTATCAGTGAAATTGAATTCACGTCTCATCGAGAATGGTGTCGACCCCTTACTCCCGACATCATTGGATTCGTTCAGATTTTATTCACGATTAAAGCGATTAGATTTAAGGCTATCGGCGGCCGTCGATGACCGGCTGTTGGATCCGTTGCGACACTGCAAGAGATTAACGCATTTAGAGCTGTGTTTACTGCAAATGACAGCAAATGTGTTGAAAGATATGCACATTAAGTGTCCGCGACTTCAATACCTAGTCATTCATGGCTTTCATAACACGATAGACACCGAGTTTTTGTCTCACATCTCAAGACTACCGGCGCTGCAAATGCTTGTCATTGAATACAATGGCATCGACCGCCTCTCAGATAATGATTTCTGGGATCAGTTGCGCAAAAGTCCTAAACTAAAGGACATTGAAATGCGTTCAAGAAATGGCTCAAAGTTTTATTCAAAGTAAAATGTGTTAAATGTTTAATACAATTAAATTACCTCTAATTTGATTTGGATTTTTTTTGTTAAGCATTTATTTGGATATTATATTCAATACAATATTTTCATAACATTTAAAACTCTTTGTTTTAATTGCATTTAATTAATACATTCATTAATTAATTATTATTTTTCGTAAATTCCTTGTATAATAAATTTGCATAAACTTTATATTACTCAATATGTTTTTATTAATTTAATTAATTATAATTAAATTTAATAATAATCTAAAATCCAATTAAAGTTTAATTAAACACTTATTGAAAGTGTGGTTAAAAAGTGATACAAAATGTTATAAAAATATTTGTGAAGAGATGTCAGTCTTGTTGTCAGTCTTTGTGTTGTTTTCATTGAATGCAAATGTTATGACGTTTTGAGCACAAAAACACAATTCATTCAAACAATCACTTCATTTGATCCCAAGATATGGCACAACAGATGAAACACTTGAAGACATCACTCGAGACCTCAGATGAAGAGGGCGGAGACATTCAACAGGTATTCAATAAACAATTGTCTGTTTATTGAGTTTTAATAGTTTTTGTCTCACATTTAGCCACAAATTTACGCGAAGAACTCAATGGACAGATTCGGTGATGACTTGTGTGCACTTCTCTTGTCTTACCTCCCATTCAAAGACCGATTCCGTTGCGAATGTGTGTCCAAACAGTTCCAGAGAACTGTCTTCGGGAGTGTTGTCCACGTCATACTTCACAAAGCATTCATTTCATTTGACACTCAATTGTTGGCCACAATCGCCAAAAAGTGTCCGAATATTCAGACCATTGAATGTCGAGTAATAGGAAACAAATACGAAGAACTGATTCCCGAATTGTTGTCCATATTTCGAGACAATTGCCGACATTTGCGGCACATTTACTGCAATTTACGTGAAAACAGCGACCAATTGTGCCTTCCGTTCGGACCACTTGTCACACAAGTCGGTAGCGTTTCGTTTGACAACAAACGCTCACTCATTCTTTGCCACCGATTGTCTCATTTAGTGATTCACTCGCTGTACGACGCCTTCGACTACTTTCCCGGACGACAATTAGTGGCCAAAAATTTGCAGAGTTTAGCGTTTTATAACTTTAGCGGCCACAGCAATGACCAGTTGTCCGCATTAGTGGCCGGCAATCAGTCCATTAGATGTCTTAAATTAGTGAATAGATTGCAGTCGAGACTCACTCCCGAGACACTGACCGAAATGTGCGGCCAATTGTCACGATTAACACAATTACGGCGATTGACACTCGAGTTAAGGCTGAACGACAACGAGAACTCTCTGAACAACTCTTTGCGGACAATCGGTGAAAAGTGTTGGCGATTACAGCGATTGACTCTCGAGTTGTTTATGAGAGACGAACCACTCGAAGGCCAACCACTCGAAGGCCAACCAATCGATGCGTTGAAATATTATCGCCGATTAAAACGATTGCATTTAACACTCGATCCGGTGTTCGGCCAGAGATTACTGGAACCGCTGAAACTCTGCCACCGATTAACGCATTTAACAATTTGGTTACACACGAAGAATGATAAGACATCTGTCGATCAATTGCTGGACAATAATTGCGGTAATTATTGGCCGCGACTTCAATACCTATACATTAGGTTCAATGAGTTCGGCGGCCAGTGTTTGGATCACATCCCGAGACTACCGGCGCTGCAAACGCTTGTCTTCCACTGCCGTCAAGACATTGGTCTCAATGATAATGAATACTCGGATCTGTTGTCCAGAAGTCATAAACTAAAGTGCATTCAAATCAGTGAAAACTTTAACATAAAGAGCTTTTGTCGCAGAAATAGTTTAATTGTTTAATAATTTTATACAAATAATTGTTTAATTTTTAAATAAATATGAATGCAATTGAAATACGATTAATACAGTTATTAATTATTAAACACTCATTGAAAGTGTGGGCAAAAAGTGATACAAAATGTTATAAAAATATTTGTGAAGAGATGTCAGTCTTGTTGTCAGTCTTTGTATACGTATTACAAATATTATCACATTTTGGGCACAAAAATACTGTTCATTCAATCAATCACTTCATTTGATCCCAAAAAATATTATATCTTAGATATGGCCCAACAGTTGACACAAATGATGGCATCACTCGAGATCACGGATGAAAACAATGAAGACAACATTCAACAGGTATTTCACAAACAATTTACTATTTATTGAGTTTTATTTGTTTTTGTTAAACATTTTAGACGCAAAGTGGACCTGCAATGGATTTACACCACTATCACCCGGGGATCAGCTCTTATGAGCACTCGCTTAAGACAAACCGCACAATAATACACAATTAAACGTAAACTACTTTAACACATGTTTATTCCGGCCGTTTATCGCATTCAATCAATACAATTGTAATCATAGTTAAAATGAAATACAATAAAACAATCGCTAAAACATTACAATCGTATCGTTCAACGCAAACAACGCCTCCAAAGGCTAATCGCAGACTGAGCTCTCGATGGTATGGCTCTCAGCTCTTATATACACTGTTAGTGACTAAAACATAGGGAAACGTTAGGAAAGTACGAGTCTATGACACGTGTAAAACATAGAGTAAAATACAGAGAAAGTGAGTGTTTAGGCATTGGCTGACAATAGAGGGCGACTCCACTGCAGACCACAGGTCACCCGAATCGGTCACACCGTCGGGTCGGATGGTCTGCTCGAAGCTCTCACTCAATGCCACCAATTGTCACATTTGGCGGTCTTTAAGATTGAAGACGTGTTTGCCATCGACCCCTACGACGTGGCGCCCAACTGCTGGCCAAACAGTTGCGTTCACTCGAGTTGTCCTACCACTCAGACTATACAGACTATATCGACGATTCTAACCGACACTGGTCTGCATTCGTAGCCGAGAATCAGTCGCTCCAGAGTCTGGCCGTAAAGTATTGTTTTTTCAGTCAGACCGACAGTCTGACCAAAATGTGCGGCCAATTGTCACGATTAACACAATTACGGGAACTGTCGCTCGGTTTGATGTTAACGGTCGACCAGTTGTCAGTTTTGGCCAACTCTTTGCGCGCTATTGGCGTGAATTGCAAACAATTGACACGAATGGCACTCGAGTTGTCCGAAAATCGGGTCAAGTCTTCTGCTGCAACCCTACCGAAGATATCGTTGCATTCGTTGGCATATTATCACCGATTAGAGCGACTCAAATTGAAGGTGAGATTAACCATCGATGGCCGGCTATTGGATCCGTTGAGACACTGCAAGAGATTAACGCATTTAGAGTTGGATTTATGGCGTATGAAACGAAATGTGTTGAAAAATTTGCACACAAAGTGTCCGCGACTTCAATACCTATCCATTAGTGCTTATGATATCACTCGCGAGTGTTTGGATCACATCTCAGGACTACCAGCGCTTCAGATGCTTGTCATCCGGTGTCACGAATCTACTCGTGATCTTATATCTTATGATTACTCGCATCTGTTGTCCAGTAATCCTAAACTCAAAGGCATTGCAATCCGTGCCGACAAATACGCGGAGGATTATTGTCGTGAAAATTAATTAAATGTTTAATGATTTTAATAATTAATTTAATTTAATTGTATTTTCACAAATTGAATTGAATTAATTACATTACTTTTGAGATGTTGATTGTAATCTCATAGTAAATACTAATATTAATTTTTATATAAAAATTATTGTATTTTAATAATGTTTATTAAAAATGTTATTTTATTTCAAATGAAAGATTTATACATTTTATTTTAAAACAGCCTAGGTACTTAACTTTCATAAATAAATCACTCGAGTTATCGTTTGCAGTACTGGACGGCCAGAAGTCCGCAGCTGTGGACCAGTTGTATGCATACAACTGGTTATTATGTGAATTACATTTAAATATCTTAAACATCTTAATATATATTTGAAATAACTATAATTTGTATAACAATTCTTGTAATTATTTAAAACACAATTAAAAACTTATTAGAAATGTTACTAAAATGTAATGAAAATATGTGTCAATAGATGTCTCACTCGTTGTCAACACTTTGTGTTGGCTTTGAATTCAATGCAAATATTATCACCAAAGCCCCTAGAAATAAGCAAATATGTGTTATGCATCACTGAAAAATAAGTATAAATTTTTTCACACAATAATTTGATACAATAACTTTTAAGAACGTATGCATAAGTTGCTATATGAATTTTTATATTTTTATATGAATTGCAATCAATTGTTTGATTAATTGAAAATAATGATCAGATTTAGTAATGATATGACAATTGTTTAGCACTTTATCACTGATTTTATAGGAAAATTTTTAGAAATACACGTATAAATTTTATAAATTATTGTTAACACAAACTCATCATTGCATTTAATTTACTCTTCATTTCAATCAACGAAACACTCATTAATTTTGAACACATTTTCAAACTATTATTAAAACACAAATT